AAAGGTCTTGCATCTGCTGGTTCATACCCTAAATGGTCACAATAGCTGAGGCTGAACCAATCCGAAGCTCGGAGCCAGGAGCTTCTTCTAGGCCTCCCATACAGATACAGTGTCCCAAGGCTTTAGGCCATCCTGCAGGACACAAGCAGGGAGCTGAGTGGGAAAAGGAGCAGCCAGGACATGAACCAGCACCCTGATGGGATCCTAGTGCATGCAAGGCGAGGATTTAGCCACTGAGCCATCGCGCTGGGCCCTTAATGCACATTTCTAACACATCTCCATTATGCTATTATGCTTTCATTTCATGATTTTAGCTAATTTTAGACTTCCTGAACTAGAATGTAACAAGAGAACTGATAGGAACCAGTGCTGTGGTGAGCAGGATAAGCCTTCGGCTGCAGTGCTGGCATCCCATACAGATACCAGTTCAAGTCAGTGGCCCCACTTCCCATCCAGCTCCCTGCTTGTGGCCTGGGAAAGCAGTCAAGGACAGCCTAAAGCTTTGCGACCCTGTACCCACGTGAGAGATCTGGAAGAAGCCCCAGGCTCCAGCTATAGTGGCCACTTGAGGGGTAAATCAACAGCTGGTGCTGTGCTGATCCAAAGCCAGGACTCTTCCGGGTTTCCCATGTGGGTGCAGGGTCCCAAGGCTTTGGGCCATCCTCAACTGCTTTCCCAGGCCACAAGCAGGGAGCTGGATGGGAAGCAGGGCTGCTGTTATTAGAACTGGTGCCCATATGGGATCCCAGCATGTTCAAAGTGAGAACTTTAGCTGCTAGGCCATGGTGCCAGGCCCAAAATTCTTACATTGAATTGCTAAACCCTAGCACATCCCATAATAACTGTATTTGAGGATGGTCTTCAAAAAGATTATGATAGTCAAATGAGGTCATATGATCAGGCCTAATCCAACATAACTAAGGTTCTCGTGAAGGAGGAAAACTAGAGGAGCAAAGGCTCTGTGAGCTCAAAGAGCCATCTGTCAGCCAAGAGCCAGATCTCCCGAGGAGAAAACAAACCTGCTGACACCTCCACCTTCAGAGAACACCCTCCAGACAGCTGCTGTTTCAGACACCCTGGCTGGTATAGGTGGTAACAGCCGTCCTTGCAAACTAACACAGTTATGTATAGCTGCTGACCACATGGCAGTACGTATTACGGACTGCTCCTAACTCTGATATGCATTACATCCGTCTCTCTAGAACCAAGGGTTGTCACCATCATCTTTCCATTTTAAGCACCCAGTTCAGTAGCTAATACACGATACTCACAAACAGTAATAGAAAAATGAGTGAGCTTTGTTGAAGCATAGAACTCAAGAAATTTAATAATGGCAAAAAAATTTTGAAGTGTAGTAAGAACAGACTATAGGGTAGATATCTGGGTCTTACTTCCACACAACTGGTACAAAGCAGAAGAATTTGAGGGATATATTAGTTTTGAAATGTCAGCAAAACTGGTCAAGCCTGGGTAGCAGAAGGAAGCACTGAGAGACCAGAACCAGGCGCATATAATCTATTACACAGCTATTATGCAAAAATTAGGCTCCAACACATGACACTGGCAACATGCAGACCCTGAGCCTCTGGTAACACTGTACCTAATTCTGTCCACAACACTCTTAAGGGAGAGAATCTGGATAAACACTTAAGCAGATTTCAGAAAGCTGGTTTCTGTCTTCCACGTGGATAGTAGGGTTTTTGTTTTCCCCCCCAATGGCCCAGTGTTCAACAGAACAGAACACAGTAAGCTTTCAAATACTCATGGGAGCTTGTAAAACTAATAGTACAACATTCATGTAATTTACACTTGCTACACAACAGACCCTGAGGTTATTTTTCTGATACATAATAACGGGTTCTGTTCCTAAGAAACAACAGGTCTCTTGACTGAAGATATGAAAAAAATCTGAGCACAGTCAAAATGATGCATTTGAATGATTTGTTTTTGTGTCTGAAAGGATGAAGGGGGAAAGTTACACGTGTGCCAGGTTAGTGGTAGCTGTGAGATGTAGTCATAAGCTTTTATTCAGCTATGATCTGTAGTTTAAGGTCATTGTGTACCAGAAACCAATGCTTCCCTCTTAAAAGTCACATTAGCATTAATGTAGTTATAATAATTCTTAGAGGGCGGTCTGTATTGATCTTTTCAACCAATTCTCTAAGCACTTACATCTATTCACTAAGAGTACGAAGAGAGGATTGATTATAAAATGTGGTCCAGGAGGTGCAATAAGCACAAAACAGAAAGGGTCATTCTAGAGCAAATATACAGGTACCTAAGGAATAATTTACAAAAATACTACAGCACAACTTAAATAATGATATTAACAAGAATACAAGAATCAGTTGGCTCTATGGAATACTTACCATGTACCAGGCTCTTTGCTAAGGGTTTAGCCATATTTAGGTTGAACTGTATAAAAATGGCCATTTCATAAGGACCAATATAATAAACTTTTTCATTGTATCGTTACAACCACCCCAGTTAATGAATGCTATCATTATCCCCACTTTATATTTGAAGGAGCCAAAATTTAGAAGATTTAAAGTGATTAAAGATGTAGAAATAATGCCAAGATCTGAATACAAAGCTCATGTTCTCACTACAAATTGGACAGCATCAACGAATGTCTTTGATAGTGTCTCTGATAGTGTCTTCAAAGACTATCAAGCTGAGGGTGTAGGCTTGCACACTGCTCCAAGCCCGGTACCGGCACTTGTAGGAACTGCACCTTCACACAGTCCCTAAAGCGAAGGCAGTGAAATGAGGCTGATAGCTAGGCCACACGTCACTATCAATTCTGCTGCAAGACAGCACGCAGAATGAAGGAGATCCTCTCATCCACAAAATCGCTATGCTGGTTAACAATGGGCCTACTGCCAACCATGAAAGTATTACCAAAAACTCTACAGAAAAATTTTAAAATACCAATAAACATATGTATACCAATAAATGTGTGTGTGTGTTTCATTAAGATTATGGGATTTCTAAAAGACATAAAACACATTGGCTTATAAGCATTTCCCAAAATATTACAGGAAAGAAAAATGTATAACATCATACTCATTTCTTAAAAAATAAATACACATGCATGCAATTTATATAACATGTGTGTGTATCAGGAAAGGAGGAAGAAAGAAAGAAAAACCAAATGATGGCATTATGGATTTTGGCATGTTTTCCCTTTGCTTATTTTTGTAAATTTTCCTGTTAGACATACGTAGAAAAAATCAAAAGCAAAATAAAATTACAATAAGAAAAATCTTAACAAAAAGCTTAAAACCTTTAAATATCATTTCAATTTTACAAAAATTTTATTCTGCACACTTTAACTTGGGATGGGGATATCCTCTAAATTCAGACATGAAATACCTAATTTTATGTGAAAGTAAGAAATCTGGACCATTCCACAATATCACTTGGGTGCGGAAACTCTGCCCAAGAATATAGAGCTAAATATCTTTGGTTGACAGAAATTATTAAATTAACATTTTAAAAAATGTGACATATAGGGCCTGGCATGGTAGCCTAGCAGCTAAAGTTCTCTCCTTGCACGTGCCAGGTCTCATATGGCACCAGTTCTAATCCCAGCAGCCCCACTTCCCATCCAGCTCCCTGGTTGAGACCTGGGAAAGCAGGTGAGGACAGCCCAAAGCATTGGGACCCTGCATCTGCATGGGAGACCTGGAAGAGGCTCCTGGTTCCTGGCTTCAAATTGGTACAGCTCCAGCTATAGTGGCCACTTGGGGAGTGATTAAGCAGACAGAAGATCTTCCTCTCTATATATCTGACTTTCCAATTAAAAAAGAAAAAACCTTTTTAAAAAAGTGACATATAAGCACCAACGTGGTGGCATGGCATATTAATCCTCCACCTGCAGATGTCAGCATCCCCTTTGGGTGCCCATCCATGTCCTGGCTGTTCCATTTCCAATCTAGCTATCTGCTAATGGCCTGGGAAAGCAGCAGAAGATGGCCTGAGTGCTTAGGATCCTGCACCCCTGTGGCAGATGCAGAAAAACCTCCTTGCTCCTAGCTTCAGACCAACCCATCTCTGGCCACTGTGGCCATGTGGGAAATGAAGCAGTGGATAGAAGATTCTGTCTGGACCCTAGTTCTGTAACACTATTTTCAAGTAAAATCAACAAATGTTTTAAAAAAAAAAAAAGCGGTTTATTTGTGTATTACCTGCATAAGGAAATAAAATGCTCAATAGTATGAGGAAGTAAAACGGGTACTGACAGCTGCAAGCGACACAGCACTATCAGTCAGGCCTAGTACGCTCATGATAAACAGAACATCACAACTCCCCAACATCAGAGAAGCCCACTCTGCCCCTGACAGGTCAAGACAAAATTACACTCCTTCAGTATCCCCTCTGAATAGACAGAAAAAAACCAACCAAACAACCAAAAAACAAACCCCACAATCGGAATCCTATCCTGGCTAGTATGAATGACTGATTCTTCCTTGCCACAGCTTTAACCTTACTGCATTCTTCTCGCCTTGTGAGTTCCTACAGTATCTAATGTCAAAATTACCCCATTGCTCCTTCCAGCATCCATCCATTGCAAAGCCCTACTTCCTTCCATTTTCCCCAGCAACAAAAGACAGCTCAAGTCCTTGGGTTGTTTCCACCCACTTGGGAGACCCAGACTGAGTCCCAGACCCCTGTTTCAGCCTAGCACTGCCCAGGGTTGAGGGCATTTAATAAGCGAATCAGAGGACAGAGATTCTCTGTCTGTTGGTCTTTATTGCTTTCTGTGTCTTTCTCTGCTTCTCAAGTACATAGAATTAAATAAATAAAAACTTACAAAAAGTAGAAGGAAAATGAAGAACCCAAACCCTGAACGTAATGCCTGTTGTAACTATAAAACCCTTTAATTTAAGCACACGTCTAAAAGTAGATGATTTGCTTGTCGCGAAGAAAATTTCCAAATATAATAACAGGTCATAAAATGATCTACATAAAACACTGCTGATCAAGTGAACTCTTACCTCCTGGGTCCTTGTCGGGATTGTACTCTAAAGCATTGCTACAGATGAGGTCAATATCTTGCAGAAAATCCTTAGCAGTCAAGTAATTATGTTTATCAATTTTAGTTATCACTGTTGATAAATCCATTGGTTCCTTGATTACTTCTAGATAATCTGAAACCTGAAACAAATAAGATTGTTTGATGAAAATTATTTCTGGTGTTCATGTGAACTACTTAGTCTTGAAAAACACAAAGTTTCTTAAAATTAAATATAGAAACTTAAGAAATAGTCACAGATAAGGATATAAATACAGTGCTATGTATGTTACTAAAGTTACTGTTATACTTTCCATGAAAAATGTCAGTTTCCAAGTCATATATAAATCAACTGAAACGTTTGTCTTCTTGAAATCTCAAACTGTCAGCTTTTTGTGTTGTTCTTAAAATTCATTAGGCATTCTGGGAATAGACTATAGTGTTACAAGCAGTCAATAACCATCAATAAACATTACCTCAAGGAAAGAAAAAGAAATAGAAAACGATATAAGCATAGATTTTCATATTAGAAAAGTTCTTTCTATATATCTCCCAAAAACTTTAAGCAAAAAAATTTTCTTTTTCTATTTCACTTTTCTAGCATGAATTATTCCATGGAAAGTATTTCCACTCCTTTGGAGTCATTACAAAACTCTGAGTCAATTATTGCTTTTTGTGACTAGTGAAAGATTTGCTGGACTTGTCCTTATATTTAAACAACCTCAAAAAAACAAAACAAAACCATTTTGTCTCATGTGCTAATTTCCAGAAGATAACCCAAAGTAGGAGACATTAAAGGGTTAATGTCACCCGACCAATAAGAAAGTGCCAGCAACTAATATATCCATTGGTGCCTCCCACTCGAACCTCAAATTGAATGATCAGTGTTAAGAGCAATCTTGACGATAACAACTGAAACTAGTTCAAGACCAATTTTTAAGAAGATGATCTTTTTTCTGTTCTGTGAGAGTTACTTTTCAGTTTCAGATGGCAACCGAACTATGACCTTTTAATTTACACATACACACATGCAACACACACATACATATGCTTTTACAATTTTAAGATTACTATTAAAACATTAAGGGATGTGTGTACATGTTTAAATTCTTTTTTGGCACCTTAAAAGCTGAAAAGTCAGTCTCCTTACACAGGAGATAGTAGTGCTACACCGGACAAGCAGTAAGCTCTTAAGAAATTGGTAGGATTACAGATTTGGTACCGGTATATTTGGGTACATTAGAAATTGTTTTGTAAACTGACGGATAATAAAAATTTGTAAAAATCACAAAATTTTAGAATTTATGTTTATCTTAAATTGAATGTTTATTTTCTGAATTTTTCTCTATTGACTCCTTTGGAATTTGACACAATTTATAGATTATTCAAATTTGAATATAAACATTTACATTCTAGATTTTCTAAATGCTGCCTTGTCCCTCCCTCTTTGTCCTCCTATTAAACTGTTCCTTCAATTTTTTTTGAAGATTTATTTTATTCTTATTTGAAAACTGGCATTACAAAGAGGAGGACAAATATAGGAAGAAACAGAGGGAGGTGTTCTATCCACTGGTTCACTTCCCAAATGGCCACAATGGCTGGAGCTAAATCAATCCTAAACCGGGAGCCAGGAGCTTTGGGGTGTGCCACATGGGTGTGTAGGGCCTGAAGGATCTGAGCCATCCTTCAATGTTTTCCCAGGCCATATCCAGGAAACATATTGGAACTAAAGCAGTCAACTGTTCACCATATGGGATGCCAGGGCTGTAGATAGAAGCTTATCCCATGACGCCAGCTCGTAGTTTTAAAATACACAAAAGGGTGCTGAGCATTGTGGCATAGTAGGTTAAGCTGCCCCCCTGAGGCACAAGCATCCCAAATCCAGGAGCCAGTCCAGTCCCATATGTTCTACCCTAGTTCCTGGCATCAACTTGGCCCAGACAGACTTATTTTTTTTAATTGGAAAGTCAGATAAACAAAGGAGGAGAGACTTCCCTTTAAGGAGTAAGCCCATAGATAGAAGATCTTTCTGTATATCATGGTATCTTTCAAATAAGGAAGGCAGGGGCCCAGAGCAGTAACCTAGAGGCTAAATTTCTCACCTTGCACACACTGGGATTGCAAATAGGCACCAGTTCTAATTCCCACTTCCCTTCCTGCTCCCTGCTTGTAGCCTGGGAAAGCAATTGAGGACGGCCCAAAGCTTTGGAACTCTGCACCCATGTGGGAGACCCAGAAGAGGCTCCAGGCTCCTAGTTTCAGATTGGCATAGCTCTGGCCATTGCAGTCACTTAGGGAGTGAATCAACAGATAGATAATCTTCCTCTCTGTCTTTCCTCCTTTGTTTATCTGACTTTCCAATTTAAAAAAATAAATATTTAAATAAATAAGGCAAGAAGAAAGGGAAGGAGAGAAGGAAAGACTGAGGGATAGAGAGGGTAGGTAGAATACAGGAGGAAAGAAAAGATGAGGAAAAAAAGAGCAGCCCATTGAAGCGGCAGGGAACAAAATTATTATCTTGACAATTTCTGACTCCTTCCATTGCTACTTTACTCTTGATTTATAAAACTGCCATTCTAGGGTCCAAAGCGGTAGCCTGGTACCTAAAGTCCGCGCACTGCACATGCCAGGATCCCATATGGGCACCAGTTCGTATCCTGGCAGCCCCACTTCCCATCCAGCTCCCTGCTTGTGGCCTGGGAAAGCAGTTGAGGATGGCCCAAAGCCTTGGGATCCTTCACCCACGTGGGAGACCTGGAAAAGGCTCCAGGCTCCTGGCTTCAGATCAGCACAGCTCTGGCCACTGCGGCTGCTATGGGAGTGAATCATAGGACAGAATATCTCCCTCTCTGTCTCTCCTCCTCTCTGTATATCTGACTTTCCAATAAAAATAAAATAAATCTTTTTTTAAAAACCTGTTATTCTATACAGATAGTGTTTGAGTTTTGGCAATCTTTAAAAAGGAAAATAGTTTTGTTGAGTAAATACAAAACTCTTTTTTACCAGCAATGGAGGTTAACCTGGGGACAAGTTCTTATCCTTTAGGAAATGCCAGAGTTAAAACATACAAGGTTTGTGTTCCTATAAACGATAATCATTAAAAGGAACTGTGAGCTTTTAAGATTATCTGACAATATGAGGGGGATGGGGAGAAGAGGAAGAATCCAGAAATGTAGAGTAACATTTATTCATTAGAAAAGCCAATTAGATATGTGCTAGAAAAGGATATAATGTAGCTAAGATGTAATATAAAGAATGTGGACCTTGACTGTAAAATAACCGTCAAGTCTTGGCCATGTCACCTACCAACAAGCCCCAGTTTCCTGAAAAATAATGACATCACCACCTTGTAAAGTTATTGAAGAAGATACAGAAAAAATATATATATATGGATCGTGGATAAATATAAAAATAAATTACTAATAGTGTCTTTATTCCAAAAAAAGGGGAAAAAAATGTTCAGAATTGCAGGGGGTATAGGGATTGCAGAATCTAATACAATGCCAGCTCATTCTTCCAAGTCAGAGATGAGGTAATGGTGCCAAAGGAATCCACTCAGACCCAAAGCACAGATTTCACAATCAGATATATTACTAAGCTGAATCTTTCATAATTCAAAAATTTCTTAAAAAGAAGGAAAAAACTAAAACTGAAAACACCAAAGCTGTTCAAACATGGAATCTTAGCTATAAGAAGGCTAGTAAAGATTACATTATACTCATTCATATTCTATATTATCCCAGGATAAAAAAAATTAACCAGCAGTAAGTATTGTTATAGTAGATTCCAAATGGAAAATTTCTGTTCTCATCATCAAAAATCATGCTCCCACAAGAACATAAAACAATACACATAGAGAGTGAGAAATTTTCCACTGGGAGCAGAGAAAAATCCTTGGAAAAATAATTTCTTTAGCTGCATATGATGTGCTTAGCTTCAAACAGCATTTTGGTCACAGACATTTCCAAGCCACCTACTCTGTGAGATACATGTAATGTGGGAAATGCCAGTATTAATTAGCACTGATTTGTTAACACCAATGTTCTTCGTGAAAGTAGGATTTATCCTGGAATAAAAATAGTCCACTATGGATTAAATGACTAAAATGGCTTTTAATCCTCTCGCTAAATTGAAGAGTAAGAGATCACACAGATCAGACGTATTCAAATCGGTCACTAATTTCATCCAAATATCACCAGATCTTTGCTGATGACATCGGTAGTTATTACATGGATTAAAGTTTTACGGGCTAGCGGTAAATTCATCCATGCCTTGGATATTTTTTTTTCCTTCCAAAAAAAGATGTCAATATTGTTTTCTTTTAGCCAATATTGTTTTCTTCAACTTCACTGTTTGCACACTACTGACACAAGACCTCTTCAATATCCACCGGTTTGCTGAAGATGTTGAAGCGTTTATCTGCAGCCAGCCTCTTGGTCACATCCCTGAGGAACAGCCGCAGCTCTCGCAGAGTGTTTTCCTCCTGGTCCTCCATCCGAGTTTTTTCTGATTCGGATAACTGACGAGGTGGAGAAGGCAGTGCAAGAGGAAGCACTTCCATAGCACAAAGAGCTGAAGAAAACACGGTAAAGTTAGGCTCTACACAGTGGGCTCAGCCCCAGGGACTTCCCTGCCATTCTCTCCAAATGTTCTTTAAACAGAAATCACAAATGTATGTGAACTCAGCAAATCATGGAAGCAGCAATAAAAATGGAAACAAGTAATCTAGGGAAAGGCCTCAGTTTAAAATTCATAGCTTCTTAAAAGGCCAAACGCTATCATTAAATAACCTAAGAATGAAATACTACATGTACTTCATGTGAATTATCTCAAATTTACATAAATATTTTTAAATACAAAATGCTGATTTTCTTAAGTCAACCTCATTAAGCTGTTTCTCAACATGACTTGCCTTAGATGTATGAAAAGTATACCAGGTAAGCAATGGTTCTTTCATCCTTTCTGATCTTATATAAGTCCCCTACCCTCATATTATGAGTATCACACAACAGGAATAATGAATGCACCTGAAAAGTCAGTGATGGGGGGGTAGAGAATTAAAAAAAAAAAATCCTAAAAACATAAAGAAAATGCAAAGTCAGTCTAAGGCCCAGTGCAATGGTTCAGTTGGCTAGTCCTCCCCTTGCAAGTGCCAGGATACCACATGGGCACTAGTTCATGTCCTGGCAGTTCCACTTTCCATCCGGCTCCCTACTTGTGGCCTGGGAACGCAGTCAAGGACAACCCAAACCCTTGGAACGCTGCACCCATGTGGGAGACCTGGAACAGGCCCTGGGCTCCTGGCTTCTAATCATTTCTGCTCTAGCCATTGCAGCCACCTGGGGCTAAATCAACAGATGGAAGATCTTCCTCTCTGTTTCTCCTCTCTGTAAATCTGTCTTTCCAGTAAAATTTAAAATAAATCAAAAGAAAGAAAGAAAGAAAGAAAGAAAGAAAGAAAGAAAGAAAGAAAGAAAGAAAGAAAGAAAGAAAGAAAGAAAGAAAGAGTGAGCATTACATCATATTTTTGCCTGATGGGTTTTTTTATTTTTGATATTTACATACTTGAGAAGGAGGCATGGCCATGTGAACCACTGATCAGGACCTCAATCTTAACATGAAAAATTCAGATTTACGGAAATAAAATATATCAAAGAGAATGAAAGATTAATCATTTTCATAATGAAATATTTGAAAATACTGATATTTATATTAAAAGAATGATCTGAAGGTATAATTAAATGTGAATGTCTCAAAGTTTTAATACAGAAATACCTGAAATTAAAGCAAGCTGATAGACTTATTTTAATGGTCAACATTACAGCACAGCAAGTTAATCCTGCACTTTGAACACAGGCAGCCTGTGTAAGTGCCACTTCTGACACAGCTCCCTGCCAACATGCCTGGGAAAGGCAGTGAGGGAAATGGCCAGGGACTTAGGTCCCTGGACCTACTTGAGAAGCTCAAATGGAGCTCCAGGCTCTTGGTTTTGGCCTGGCCCAGTGTAAGCCATTCCAGCTATGTAGGGAGTGAAGCAATGATGAAGATGGATCTCCTTCTGCAAACCCCAGTCTCTCTATACATATAATTGTGAAAAGTTAGAACACTAAAGAATAGTAAATAATTAAAATGTTGAATAATATAATTAATGAAAAACTAAAAAACAGATGTCAAAGAACACGGAACAGTAAGGAGCTGCATGGGCGTGGAGTAGTTTTAGTATGCCACAAGAATGGCCACAGGTCAGGCATGCAGCACTGCGGTCAAGATGCCACTTTGGACACTAGTGTCCCGTGTCACACTATCTGGAACCAAATTCCAGCTCTGCTGTTAATTCCTGTAAACACACATTCTGGGAGGCAGCAGATGATGGTCCAAGGGCTTGGATGTCTGCCTTCCATATGGGGGACCCAAACTGAGTCCAAGCTCCTGGCTTTAGCCTGGCCCAGCCTGGGCTGTCATGGACATTTGAAGAATGAATCAGGAGATACAAGAACTCTCTCAGAGGTCTCTCTCTCCCCACACCTCTCCCTTTCCCTTTGCTTTTCAAGTAAACAAATAAACAATCTTTTAAAATTTCAAGCTTAAAAAAATGATAGTGAGAAACATAAAAGAATAAGGAGAGGGACCAGCTTTGTGGTGCAGCATATTAAGGCGTGGACTGCAACACCAGCATCCCATATGTGCATTGGTTTGTGTACCAGCTGCCCTATTTCCAATTCAATTCCTTGCTCATGGGCCTGGGAAAGCAATGGAAGATGGCTCAAGTGCTTGGGCCCCAGTCACCACAGGGTAGTTGGGATGAAGTTCTTAGCACCTGGCCTTGGCCTGTCCTAGCCTGGGCTATTGCAGTCATTTGGAGACTGAACTAACAAATGAAAGCTCTCTTTCTCTATCCCTCCCCTCTCTCCATCACACTGCCTTTTAAACCAATCAATCAATCAATTTTTGAAAGGGTGGGAAGAACAAGGGGAAAGAGGCTTAAAAGTTTTTTTTTTTAACCTAGCAGAACTGCTACTTCCTAGAAGTGAACTTTATGCTTTATGCATTTTTAAGATTAAGAAACTCTTTTGACTGACTTAGAATGCGTTTGTCACTTAAGTAACTAAAATCTGACATGCCCTTGAAGCTCCATTTAATACTATGAGTCCAAGCCCAAAAAATCGTACTGAATTTTATTTTGAAATATAATAATTAAATATTTATTTTTAGTAAAATACTCATTAGAATAAATAACTTGATTCATTTTAATGCTTAAAATAAAGCCATGACAGATTTCCAGAAGTCTGAAACATGCTACATAACATGTGCTAACGTAACATTGAAAATTGATCAATGAACAAAACAGAAAGGACAAATATCCTAGTAGCTCTTGGCCTGTGAAATTAATTCCAGTCCATAAAACAATTCACACAACATCTGGTGGTCGTAACTGCCAGTTCAACACCAGAAGGATGTTGTGAGCCTCAGAATGTGAAACCCACCACAGGATAAGAAGTGACTGCTGCAGAACTATGTTTTCTCTGTAAAACTTGAACAAGAATGTCCCTCCTGATCTCAAGGTAGGTGAAAACAATGGCCACTTCCTCTGGCATCCATAAAAAGACACCAAACAGAATCTGACAAAGTGTCTTACTCCCATGAAGAAAAGGTTAGAATTGATTAACACCAACAAGAAACATTTCCTATTTCCACCATCCGTCCCCTCCATTTTCCTAAAGATTTGAGGAATTTTACCAGTGTGTTTCCTTCGTGGTGGAGCCATTGAGGCCTGATTGAGAATTAATTCTTGGAAAAATTTTCTTCTGTCTTCTTCAATAGGCCTTTGAATATATAACACCTCTTCATACTGAATTCTAAAGATACATTTAACCTACACATACACACACAGACACACAAAGATATCAAATAGAGAATTAAAAGTTCATATACATCAAATTACTATTTTTTCAACTCCAGTACAATTTTCAATATTCACAAAATATTCAGAAGGGTAACCTGTTGACAGGTTTGACCTCAGGGACTGCACAAGAATGGGAGAGTATCCAGTTGCCCAAGTCACTAACAAACAACACTGTATCTCAGAAAGGCATCAGATAACAGGAAAGAGGGCAACTGAATCCAAGTACCAGCTGAGAAGTAATTATCTAGAGGCTTCAGCAGAAAGCTGAAAGGCTGTTAACATCTGCATTTATTATCCACTGACTTCTTCTTCTATCCTTTCCTTACCAAGTTTGTTCCATTATACTTTCTGTCATCTGGTTGCACTGCAAATAAATTATTCCTCTTGCCTCTTCAAAGAGTGCCCCATATTACTACATTCAAGGAAAACTCCAAAACAAAATGAGCTGGTTGTTCTCATATCTTTTGGGTCCTTCCCCCAGTGATTTACCCATCTTCCTCTGTCTTGAAAACCTAACAGAGGGCCTGGTGGCATGGCCTAGCAGCTAAAGTCCTCACCTTGAATGCACTGGGATCCCATATGGACACCGGTTCTGATCCCGGCAGCTCCACTTCCCCTGCAGCTCCCTGCTTGTGGCATGGGAAAGTAGTTGAGGATGGCTCAAGGCCTTGGGACCCTGCACCCACGTGGGAGACCTGGAAGAAGTTCCTGGCTCCTGGCTTTGGATCGGCATAGCATCGGCCATTGAACTCACTTGGGGAGTGAATCATAGGACGGAAGATCTTCCTCTCTGTCTCTCCTCCTCTCTGTATATCTCACTTTCCAATAAACAAATAAATCTTTAAAAAAAGAAAACCTAACAGAACTTGGACCATGCGGCGCCTTGAACACGCCGGGATACTATATGGGCACCGGTTCTAATCCCGGCAGCTCCACTTCCCATCCAGCTCCCTACTTGTGGCCTGGGAAAGCAGTCGAGAATGGCGCAAAACCTTGGGACCCTGCACCCAGGTGGGAGACCTGGAAGAAGTTCCTGGTTCCCGGCTTCGGATTGGCGCAGCACCAGCCGTTGCGCTCACTCAGGGAGTGAATCATCGGACAGAAGATCTTCCTTTCTGTCTCGCCTCCTCTCTGTATATCTGACTTTGTAATAAAAATAATAAATACATCTTTAAAAAAACGAAAGCCTAACAGAACTCAATATTCGAAAAAGACCGTACCTTTGGTCAATAAGAGCAAACCACTCAGTTTTGGCTCTAAATATTCTTCCTTCTGATAATTGTCAACATGGTGCTCAACTTTGTAAATTCATAAGTGTATCAAGAGTAAACCCACAATAATCCACTAACATTCTTGCCAGATTATAACCAATAGCTCAGAATCTATCCCCTATAAAAATTCTTCTCTAGTTCACTCATAACCTTATCCTCAAACAGTTCTAGCCTCAAATTTCACACCATAACAGAAAACTTTCAAAATTTCCTAAATACATCATGTTCTCTTTCACACTGGCTCACTCTCATCACACTAGTATTTATCCATGCTGCTCACTCTTTCCCTAACCCATCCATCCATTTATCTATCTTCCTTCCTTCCTTCCTTTATTTAACTGGGAAGGCAGAGAAAGAGGGACAGAGAAAGATCTTCCACCCTTGGTTCACTATCCAAATGGCTACAACACTCAGAGCTGAGTCGATCCAAAGCCAGGAGCGTCTTTCAGGTTTCCCATGCATTGACAGGATTCCAAAAGTTGGGCATCTTCCACTGCTTTCCCAGGCAGTAAGCAGGGAGCTGGATAGGAAGTAGAGCAGCCAGGACAGAAACCAGCACCCACACAGGTTGCTGGTGCTTGCAAGTAGATTAGCCTATTGAGCCACTGTACTAGCCCTCCTGAACCCATCTTTTAATTCTCTTCTCAAGTAACAGTAATGCTTTCCCAAATTTTCCTAGATGTGCCAAAGTATATCTTCAAAAAGTTCTCATTAAACTTTTTTATTTAAAATAGCTGAGTGATTCTAAGTATATTTATATAATTGTACAGCCATCACTTCAGTTTTAGAGCATCTCCATTACTCTAAATTTTCTGGGTGCCTATATGCAGTCAATTACCAGTCCCATTCACATGCTCCTGCCTAATTTCCACTATTTTGCTGTTTGTCTCAAAAAAAAAAAAAAACCATGTCTCTACCAGAAACTTCAAACTGGTAGACTTCTGTGTCTGCCTTTTCTCAGCATTTATCTTCAGCTCCATTCAACTTATAGTGTGCATCAGAATTTTATAACACTAATTGCTGACTAGAATTTCACCATATAGTCACTAATTGATTAGTGACCATTTAAATCGTTCCTATACTGAGGCTATTGTGATTAACACAACCAGGTACACCTGCATATGGACGTCCATGTAACCATGTTTCCATTTCTCTTGCGCAGATACCTAAGAGTAGAATTACTGAGTCATATCACAAATTTCTCTTTAACTTTGAAAAAGGTGGCTACATCATTTCACTCTGCCGCCAGCATATACAAGGAGCTCCACTTACATCCTCACTACCACTTTCATTGCTGTCTTTTTGAGTATAACTATTCTAGTGGGTTACACTGGTTATCGTATTACTTACATGGTAATGCTGTCAGGAATCTTTTTACTTACAAAATGGAAGATCATAAGAGGAGTCATATGATATTCAACCTTCCGTACTCACTATTTCTTAGTTCCTTAAGCTTCACCTATATTATATGTTATGCTGCACACATCAAAGTTTCCTAAACCTAAATATGCTCCAGGGCCCGGCGCAATGGCGCAGTGGTTAATAAGAATTCTTAGCCCCCAATTTTGTATTCCTACAACCTCTGTAATAAGGGAAACTAATGATTTACAATCAGGAGCCAGCGCTGCAGTAAAGCCACCACCTGTGGCACTGGCAGCCCGTGCGAGCACAGGTTCTAGTCCCAGTTGCTCCACTTCCAATCAAGCTCCCTGCTAAGGCACCTGGGAAGGCAGCAGAGGAAAGCTTGGGCTGCTGCAGTCAAGCAGGGATACTCAGATGAAGCTGCTAGCATCAGACCAGCCCACCTTTGGCCACCGTGGCCATTTAAGGAGTAAACCAACGGATGAAAGCTCTTGTTCTTGCTCTTTCTCTGACTCTCCCTCTGTGTGTAGCACTCTCTCAAATAAATAAATCCCTAAAAAAAAAAACTCCAAATCAAAAAGAAAACGTAAGGAAAGGAAAGCTAAGAAAGCAAGAAAGTTTTCCTTAAATTAACTTTGGTGAAAACAAGGAAACAATTTATTAAATGAAAATTAGTACTTTATGCACCTTAAAATATCAACAACATTCATTTATTCAATAAGGTTCTCCTCTTAATTTTTTTTAAGATTTTTTTTTTTAATTTGAAAGGCATATTTTACAGAAAGAGGAGGAGGAAGAAAAAGAGAGAGAGAGAGAGAAACTTCTATCCACTGGTTCACTCCCATATGGCTGCAACAGCCAGAGCTGAGCTGATCCAAAGCTGAGAGGTAGGATCTTCTCATCTCCCACATGGACGCAGGGTCACAAGGACCTGGGCTCCCACATGCATGCAGACTCACAAGGACTTGGGCTACACTCCACTGCCTTCCCAGGTTAGCAGGGAGCTGGATCACAAGCGGAGCAGCTGGGACACAAACCAACACCCACATGGGATGCCAGCACTTGCATGTAAAGGATTACCCTGTTGAGCTATCATGGCAGTCCCCACCCACTTATCAAATATTTAAGATAGGTTCTCTGTATATGACATCATTCTGGGTTTTCAATGATCCCACTTCATTTCTCCACTTGAATTTATTAACTTACTCTTTCCAGGACTCACATAAACCCAGGGAAATAACATGAAGTAAAACATTTAAAACAATAAAATACTATTTGTAATGTCTATTTTTCATCAGCACAGTTAAGGAAGTACATGTTTAAAATTAATTCGAAATCTATTGAAATACATCCTCTTTGCCCATAATAGTTGGATAGTAGATATTGAGAATCACTTTAGAAACAGAAATGTAATTCTGGCCAAGATTTGATTTCCTTCCTTAAGATTCTTTTTCTGTGATCAATCCTTTTTTAAATTCTCCTGAAGGAGAAATAACTAGCAATTCCCATAAATTTCAATCGTAATCTTCCAACTATCCTCATATAGGATTTACAGAAGTAACATTCTAACACTACATTTTCACAGAAAGGAAATGAGGCTGACCAGGAAATATTTAAAGATAGATGGTAATTAAATTGTTAGTCTCTCTTTTGTAAAATAAGCTTTGAATAACTACAATGTATATGCACTGTGCCACGATCTGGTAACAGTCAGTCCCTCACCTCAAGGAGCTCGTGTCCAGGTGCAAAGTATGCATTTGCTCTCAGGGTCTTCTTAAACTCTTGAAAACTAGTAAGGATCCGAAAAGGGCTTTGGGAGTGGGCTATATCTGTCACTATGTATCAAAATTCAGAATACTTTAAAAATCAACTCATTATGTACTAACATGTAGAAGTATATATTGCTCCAAAATATGATACATAGAACATTAGATACATAAAACAGCAGCTGAGATACAAACTGGCACTCAAATGGGATCCGAGGTATGCAAGGAAAGGAATTTAACCACTAGGTTACCACACCAGACCCTATTACTGTAGCTTTCACTTATTCATTAAATATTCTTTTTAAAAAATATTTATTCACTCATCTTTTTTTTTTAATTGGAAAGGCAGAAAAAGAGACAGAGAGAAAGGCTAACCATCCACTGCTTCACTCCCCACATAAAGGCCATTACAGAGCTGATCCAAAGCAAGGAGCCAGGAGCCTCCTCTGAGTCTCCCACATGGTGCAGAGTCCCAAGGCTTTGGGCCATCCTCCACTGCTTTCCCAGGCCACAGGCAGGGATCATGGAGGAAAGTAGATCGGCTAGAGCCTGAACACCAGCGCCCATAAGGAATACCGTGAGATGCCAAGTGAGGATTTAGCCACTAGTCTATTTATTAAATATTCTTAAATAAATTCTAGTGACCAGCCATTTCTTTTAGAATCGCTTGGTTTTATGTTACCTACTTTATGTCATTTATTCATCAACTTGCAAACCTATAAGGTCTGCAATTCTCAACATTGTTTATTCATTCATCAAATATGTATCAATATAGGTGATATATTATAGGTTACTATCTTTTTGTTATGTAAAAAGGCAGTAATTCTATCTCAAAGTTCAAATGTAAAATGTAAGCCTTGGAGACAGGGGAGTATTTCCTCTGAACAACTAGTGAAAAACCATTTTATATTCAGTTGTCTTGACAGAATTTTCATAATATTCATCCCACAAACAAAAACATTTATGGTTCACTTTAGTAGTTAATTACTGAGTGATCAGAATATAAAAGACAAAAGGGAAAAAAAAGATAAATTATCAGGAATCAATGGTAATATAGTTTTAATATTTTACTTACTAAAGAGGTTACTTGCAAATAATCCATTAAAAATCATAACAGCTTTAAAATATGAAGCCGGGGCCTGGCGGCGTGGCCTAGCGGCTAAAGTCCTCGGCTTGAACATGCCGGGATCCCATGTGGGCGTTGATTCTAATCCCGGCAGCTCCCCAACGTTTTGGGATCCTGCACCCGCGTGGGAGACCCGGAAGAAGTTCCTGGCTCCTGGCTTTGGATCGGCACAGCACTGGCCGTTGCACTCACTTGGGGAGTGAATCATCGGACGGAAGATCTTCCTCTCTATCTTTCTTCCTGTCTATATATCTGACTCTGTAATAAAAATAAATAAATCTTTAAAAAAATATGAAGCCAGGGCCTACAAGGTACCTCATTAACTAAAGTCTTCGCATTGCATGCGCCAGGATCCCATATGAGCACTGGATCTAATCCTGGCAGCCCTGCTTCCCATCCTGCTCCCTGCTTGTGGCCTGGGAAAGCAGTTGAGGACAGCCCAAAGCTTTGGGACCGTGCACCCATGTGGGAGACCTGGAAGAATTTCCAGGCTTCTGGCTTTGGATTGGTGCAGCTCCAGCCATTGTGGCTGCTTGGGGAGTAAATCATCAGACGGAAGACCTTCCTCTCTATCTCTCTTCCTCTCTGCATACCTGACTTTCCAATAAAAATAAATAAATCTTTTTTTTTAAAAAAAAGAATAGACATTATAGTAATAATATTCAATTTAATATGATATTAGCAACAGAAGAGTTGAAAGATCAAATCCCACCAAATGCTATATTCAATGAGAATAATTATTTTGAAACTGATAATATAACTAGAATTTTCTTCGCAGGTTGTATATATAAGCACGTCAGATTCTATGAGCATTAATGACATCAAGCTTTCCAGATACACTGAAGAAAACAACATTGTCATATCAAAACAGAAACTCAGAAAGACTCAGTAACCTTCCTGTATTCCATCACTAGCAAAGTGGTACAATCCAGACCTGAACCTGGATACAGTAACTAAAATACCAATATAAAAACAAACTATCTTTTAAAAATAATATAAAAAAGATAAAACATTTTAATTAGCTCTTACCTCTTCAGGCAGTTCACTGTACATGGTTTCAGAGGTAGACAATAAAAATATAGGTGAAAATGATGGTATGTCTTGCAGCAAAGTCAGAAAAGTTGCTCTCACAGTTTCACTGACAGCTTCCCACCAATCACCAATGTGAGGCATGTAAACAATACTCGGTACTGTTCTCCGAGCTTCACGAAAAATCTAGTTAAAGAAAGAACCCAAATTACCGACTTTTAAGTCTACCTGATAACATATAAATGTATGAAACAGGTCAGGTCAGTGTCATCCTTAGTTTTAGCCCCCAAATGTAAGCTTTTGAAGAAACGGTACACAAGCCTTCTATGTAACCTTTGTTCCACCAGGGGGAAAAAAACAGACATTATTTTTACAATTTTATTCTTTTACAGTACACACTAACAGAATGAAAGAATCAAATAGTTTCTATATAACAATCATTACAGACAATAAAGTAAAACACCACTAAAACAGGCTTTAAATAAAAGGATAGTATGCGCCTGAGTGTCACCAGTGCTAGAGACACAAGCAACCCTCTACAACACAACAGAAGACAAACAGTATGGTTTGCATGTCAAAAGCCCCACTCAACATATGAATCACACACTCATCTTAACCAAGGAGCAGCACCTTACAAAATAAAATCAATGATCCACCTGCTGAATCACGTATGCACTTCACCCATCACTTCATTTCACTCTTTCTTAATCATAAAATGTTCTTCTCTAAAAAAAGAACAAATTACAGAAGAACTCTGAGATACTTCCATTATCAGACAATACAGTAAAGTTGAAAAGAAAGTATTCCCAAGGTGTTAAAAAGAAAGAATCCTAATCATAGCTTCAGCGGCATTCTGCCAACACATACCAGTGAGGACCAGGTTGGCTATTAGTAAGCGGCAAAGTAGAGCTATCATTCCTCATATAGAAGTCCACAGCTCAATAGCCTATGAGCAAATGTTCATCTGTTAATGACATCTTTTCATTATTTTTTAACAAGATTATGTAAAAGTGTAAAAATATGACTATATTTCTTCAAACTAAATTGATACTTCTATTTCTAAAATTCTCTCATTTTTTCCTGTTTTATACAGAATTCTACTAACTTATATGCTGCAGAAAATACAGAAATAAGAAGCTTATATTAAAAATGATTAGGATTATCAGAAATTTGGTTAAAAATAAAAGGATTATTTTTCTTTAATGAGTTTATCTCTTGCATAAATTTTAGGATAATACATTTCATACATTTGATTGCATTTGATTCTACCTCCTGTGTAGAATCAAATGCATTGCAATAGTAAACCAGATGAAAGGAATTCAAAATTTTTCCCAAAGTTGGATGAAATATATCTAGTATAACAATTCAAACAAAAGCAATGTTTGCATATCCACCAATCCAGAACAACTACAGGGGTAACTCCTTAAGGCCTCTCAAATTTCACATTTGTTGCAAACTGGCACAAACCTATACCGAATCTTGAAAATTCAAGGACATTTTTTCCCCCTGAAGTTATTTTAGAAAATTCAGAAGAGAAAAATCAGCACAAATGTTGGTAAAATGAAGGAGCCCCATAGGAACACAAAGGCAACTAAAGCATTTGTTTCCACAATAACGTATTACATGACACTCAAGTCAGGCATGATATGTGTAAGACAATGACCAACTCCTTTGTCCCTTTCCACTTGCCCAATCTGCTGATAAAGCTAGAGGAAGTCAGTCAACAAAGAGAGGTGACATCTAAAAGAAAAACTACTGAGCTGCAGCTTACAGAGAAACCTCACAAAGCTAACCATTTAATTCAGCCATGCAAGCTGCCACATACCGAGGGCTCAAAAGATATGAGAAAACAGGCCTTTTTATTTAAAAATTAATAATAAATAAGAAGAAGAAGAGGAGGAAGAATTTTTGCATTTCATTCTAGTACTTCTAGGTTAGGTTCACTAGGAATATGTGTTGACCGTATCTAGTCCATTTAAGAAGCATCAAAAATGAAGGGAACAGCACAGATGATTAAGGGATATTAAGGACTTAACAAACTCAGAAGTTAAATACTACAGAACTCTAAGTGTTCTGCAGACTTGACGAGGTTGAACTAGATATTAGCAGCACCAAATCTAAATAAGCTGGGATGTTTTCTCCTATTTCTTTCTTTCCATCCAAACCCCTCAAAATTAACTAAGTAATGATAATTTCCCATAAACTGTTATTTCCAAAGCCTTTAGGAAAATGCCGTCTTGATAAATATTTATATTATATTTTAAAACCCAGAAAGTGTGGGGGGAGAGAATCAGACAATTCTCAGGTTAAATACAAAAAGGTAGTATACAATTACAAGAAAGAAGGAACAGAGCCTGGTACAATGGCTCAGTAGCTAAATACTTGCCTTGCATACGCCAGGATCCCTAATGGATGCTAGTTCATGTCCTGGTTGTTCCACTTCCCTTCCAGCTCCATGCTAGGGGCCTGGGAAAGCAGCAGAGGATGGCACAAAGTCTCAGGACCTTGCATCCATGTGGGAGACCCAGAATCTCCTGGCTTCAGATCAGCTCAGCTCCGGCCACTGTGGCCACTTGAAGAGTGAACCAACTGACAGAAGATCTTTCTATCTCTCTTTCTCTCTGTAAATCTACCTTTCCAATAAAAATAAATCTTAGAAGAAAAAAAGGAGAAATAACCTGATTATATCAAATACCAGTAATCAAAAATACTTCCATAATTTTTCTCCAAAGCCCTTAGAGTGAAAACAAGCCTTAATTTCTAGAAAAAAAAATTTAAAACATTACTGAAACAACTTTTCCTTTAATATCTTACTCCATGTCATCTTAAAATATTAAAATAAACTTTCCTATTTTCTTTAACTATTTAACCTACCTATTCTAATTCCCATTTTTCCAATGAAAATTCAAAAAGAATAGAAAAGAGTATTCAAAAATTTTCAGAGTTTAATTATCAGGAAAAAATTTAATTCTGTTGTGTTTTGTGTATATATGCATATAATATGAAAACAACTCCTTAGCAGTCTGCTACTAAATTTTAAAATAGTAGAGTAAAATATATTCTCTGAAATCAAATCACAAGATAGTTCAAGTTGAAAAATAAAGCCTTTAATAAAGTGGCAACTGTCTTGGTAACAAGGGATGCCATTTGAGAACTAAAAAAATACTCACCTACAGGGTGTCTTGGATTGGTGGATGTGCAAGGAGTAGTAGAAAACAGAACAACTGTTACAGAGAAAGCAGACAGTGGCCGGTTACTGAACCAACCGCTCCTGACACCTCTGACATGACGAGCACTCTTGCACAAGTAAAATGAACACACACCAGTATATGTGAACTGTTCATTTTGATTATTTAATCAATATACTCCATTTCCTTCTGGCCTTCTTATTGCCCCAGACATCATAGTTCATTAAAAACTTATTTAAGTTGCTTGATTTAAAAAAAAAATGACAAACTACTTCCTCTGAGTATTGCAGATACTGAAGGCAAAAATCAGGCCATTGATGTATTATAAAAGGAATGACATAAATTGCACTTATGCTTACAAGAGTCCTAATCATCTCAAAAGCTAAAGTTTTAAGTCAGTATTTTAGCCACCAAATTAAAATGATCAGTGCATAAGATTTATTTTTAAACTAAAAATATAGAGCCCTTTAAGCCATTTTCTTTAGAAACTAAGAACAACAAAAATTTTAAATACATATGTGAACACACACAAAAAAAGATCAAAACTAACACGGCTTTCCCTTGTCTAAGAAAGGGCTACACAGAAAAGAAGCAAACAATTTCAACACAAAAGATTTCCAGGATTTGCTTCAGTTGCTTGACAGTATTATGAATGTCTTAAAATTACAAAATATTATAGATGGAAGAAAAGTCTTGAGATCTAAAAATTTCTCAATTTTCACAAAAATTAAAAATGAACAGCAGGGGCCCAGTGGTGTGGCCTAGCAGCTAAAGTCCTCACTTTGAGCACGCCGAGGTCCCATATGGGTACCGGTTCTAATCCCAGCAGCTCTACTTCCCATCCAGCTCCCTGCTTGTGGCCTGGGAAAGCAGTTGAGGACGGCCCAAAGCCTTGGGACCCTTGGGAGCCAAGAAGTTCCTGGCTCCTGGCTTTGGATCGGCATAGCATCGGCCATTGCACTCACTTGGGGAGTAAATCACCGGATAAAAGATCTTCCTCTCTGTCTCTCCTCCTCTCTGCATATCTGACTCTGTAATAAAAATAAATAAACCTTTAAAAAAAATGAACAGCAAAATATTTGATTCCTTTTCATGCTATCACAAAATATTAAAATACTAAAACGTTACTGCTGCATTGTTGATTAGTTTATTCCACTTTTATCTCTTTGCTCCATTTACACTGCATTTACCTACTAATTATTGAAAGGAGGTACTAACTAGATCTGCAGGTCCAGGATTCAAGAAATCACCTGTCACACTTCATCACTTGCATACAAAGTTATTAGATACATCTATACTCATTTGAACAGCCACATTACCTAAATTATGAACATACATCTGAAAAAAAAAAAACTCATTCTTTTTTGATGTTTCATTTACTAAATGTCTACAGAATTTTAGTAAGAGCAATATACTCTGGACCAAGGTGATTTAAATAGTTTACAACTCAAAAACAAAGACCAAAAAAAACCCATGTTCCGTCATAAAAACCCAGACACTCATGTGAGCAAACCCAAAGGAACCGAGGTAGAAACAACAGAAGCCAGAAACGTTTTCAGTCCAATGCAGAAGTATCCAAGGTACACACATCAGTACACGTATTAATCCCCTGACGTTACTCAAACAAAAAAGGATTTTCCCTGGGAATTTTCTGATACAATTTGTTTTGAGGAAATAAAATTACTAAAATCTTCACCCAAAAAGATCTTCTTCATCATTTGACATTATTCAAAACCCTGAGTAATTGCAAGATTTTTCAAAGACCACAAATAAATCGATTAATTCAACTATATCTCTGTATTAATGAAAAAATAAGACACATTCAAAAGTCCTTTTTTTCCTTCCCTAAATACAAGGTAAAATTACAATGAGGATGTGAATAAAAGGGAATTGACACACCCATGCACACATGTAAATACACACACATAGTAGTGTTATGAATGTTCGCATTCATTTCAGTAACAAACGTCCAACTAATGTACAGGGACCCAGTAAAGT